CCTTAACTCTAAAAATTGCACAGTTTTGATCCCTCCATCAGTTAAGTATGAGGTGGCAGTTAAATAATTTTATGTGGCATTGTTTTTTAATTTTTTTTTGATGATGTGGCACTAATATATATTATAATTATATTATATAAATAAATAAAAGTGCCACATAGATTAATATGTATTTTTTAATTAAAAATATATAAAATTACTTTATTACCCTTATCCTCACCCTCACCCTCCCAATCCCTCTTCTTCCCCTTCTTTTTTTCTCTTTCTTTCTTTCGGGTTCGATGGAAACCCAGCCTTGTTGGGCTCGTAAGCTGGGTTCGGTTGAAACCCAGCAAGGCTAGGTTTGGTGGAAACCCAGCCTTGTTGGGTTCGTTGACCATCCAAGGCTGGGTTCGCGACCAACCAAGGCTGGGTTCGGTTGAAACCCAACCTTCAACTGAACCCAGCTTTACTGGGAAAGCTTGGTTCTTGGTTTTTCGTTCTTCTTTCTATTTCCATTTCCAGTTGTTAATATATTTGGAGATTGATTTATAATTTGATTGCATTTTTATTAGAATTTGATTAAAGTTTGATTGTATTTTTGTTGATATTCGATTAGAGTTTGATTGGTATTGTTTATTGAAGGGTATTTTGATTTGGTAAGATCTACCAGATTTGAGGTTTCAATAAAACCAGTAGCTCAAGTTTCCCTGAGAAAAGAGAAGAAGAGGAAATGGGTGGGTTAAGGTCGGTTTTGTAGATGGAGTGGAGATGAGAAACATTCACGGAAGAAAAAGAAATGGGTTAAGATCGATTTTGCAGATGGAGTGGATATGAGAGAGCATTCAGAGAATAAGAAGAAATGGGTTAAGATCGATTTTGCAGATGGTGAAGATGAAAGACCAGTTTGCAGGTAACTGGAATCCATTTGAGGGGTTTTGTGTGAAGAAGATGAAGATGACATGTCATAAAAAAATGTCCAGCTAAGCATCGTTTTTAAGTTGTGCCCGCCATGTCATCAAAAAAAATATAAAAAATGCCATGTGACCGAGTTAACGGCCCAAATTGACAGAAGGACTAATGGAGTGCATTTTGTATAGTTGAGGGATTAAAAAAGTGCAAAAAATTGTTAAGGGACCAAAAATGTGCAACTCACTAAAGTTGAGGGACCAAATTTATCATTTAACCTTCAATAAATCAGGGTTTGGGGCCTTTGGGCGGTGCTGGTTTGACAAGAATAAGACTAGATTCTTACTCCTAGTCGAAGTCCTATATGGGTTCCAATAAAATAAGAGTTTGGGCTGTGCCTGTTTGTAAAAGTTAGAAGCGAGAAGAAACAGAAGTTTGTAGCGAGAGAAGGTTGGTGAAACGGTATTCGGACGGCGATTTTGGTTTCTATTCTTTCTGAAGTTTCAGAGGCTAGTTCCTACTTCCTAGATGTTTAAGCTCCATATCCTATGGTCAGATTGACGTTCTTCTTCTCCGATTTCCTTCGGTACACATTCAGCACCCTTGGTGGAATCTGTCTCCAATTTGTTTATTTGGTATTGATTATGATGATAGTAGCCCAAAAAATTGTTCTTGATGATTTTGCTGTCTTCTTCAAACATTGTTGTATGGATTTGCTGATTTGTTTTGACCTCCGATTCCCTTCTTTCCCGAACTCCATCAAAACATGAAGACTCAAACTCATAACCACTTGGACATCCAGTAGAGGACTAATTTGCTGATTTTTATTCTCGAATTTGATTGCGAAAACAGAGAAAAAAAAATTGAAATTTTTTTGTTCTGTGGCTGTTATTTGATCAGGTTTTCGTGTTCATGTGTTTTTGATGCTTATGTTTACTTTTCTTATATAGTTTTCAACGCTTTTAAGTGGAAGATTGAGTGAAACTCTCTCTAGTGAATTTGAGCTGCTTACAGGATTGTTATTATATGTCTAGATTGCCAGGATTACTGAGCCATCAGCCATGCCAAGGAATACTGATTGGAGGTTTGCTATGAAACAAGCCTTAAAACGTTAACACGGCAGTATGCTAAAAACTATTGCTGCCAGATGCAAAACCTTTAATACTTCCCCTCAGCATTGCCAATTGTATCTTGATTTTTACACTTCTGAAAAGGCTTGAGACCTCCAACGAGTCAAGCTCCGAGCCAAAGGTAAAAAAAGAATCAGGAAAAGAGTTTTTTCTTCCTTTTTTTTTTTTTTTTTTTTTTTTTTT